GGAAGGCGGAGGGGGGGAGGGGGGACGACGGGACGGGGAGAGAGAGCGAGAGAGCGCCTGCGCGCGCGTCGGCGTTCAGAATTCGTCGTGTCGTACCAGAGCCTCTCCGAAATCGGTGGCCTGGCTTCCCACGAAGAGGTCGTACTTCTCCACGATCTCCTCCCGGCTCAGTTTACCATCCTGGAAAACCCAAAAAAAAACCCCAAAAACAAAAAAACCCAACAACAAAAAAACCAACAAACCCAACAAAAAAACCCCAAAAAACCAACAAAAGGACGGAAAAATTCCCAAATTCCCTCCCGAAATTCCAGGATTTCATCCCGGTCGGTGGGTTTTGGGTTGTTTTTTTTTTTTCCGTCCCCGCCTTCAAACCTTGTTCTGGTCGGATTCGTAGACGAGGTGTCGCGCTTCGGCCTCGGCGTGGTCGTAATCCGACGGGAGGATCCAATCTTTGGTTTCTTCTTTGTCCATTTTCCCGTCGCGGTTTTTGTCTCGGAATTCCACAAATTGTTCCCGTTCCGTTTTGACCCATTCGGGTTCGTCGGCGTCGCCGTCGTGGCTGTACATGTCACCTGCGAAAGAAGAGGGAAGAGCCCACGGGATGAAGAAGGACCACCGGTCTTCCCCCACCGAGCTCAGGATCGATTTCCGAACCCGTCACGACCGGAACTTCCCACCGTCGGATCACGCGATCCTCGCGGTCCCTTCCCACCCGGTATTCCGTGATCCTATCGTGACCTCCCCCTTCCATCTCCCAATTTTCCATCTTTGAGGATTTATTTCCCTCAAAAAAAAACCCAAAACAACCAAGTTTGGAGAAGCAAAACGTGTTTTGGAGTCTCCTCTCCATCCCCGAAACGTTCCGTTCGGGATAAGGGTTTGGAAAGAGCAGTTGCTCCGTGTCTCCAAGAGGAGACAAATCCCGGATGGTGGAGATATCCCTCTTTTCTCAGGGGGGTTCGGAAGCCGCTTGTCCCACCACGAATCCCTGGCACCGCTTTGGGATTTAAACCCCGGAATCGGGGAACGGAAACGGGACGGATCTAAAGTTAGGAAGCGAAGAGAGAGAGAGAACGGAATTCCAGGAGAGGAGGTGGGAGAGGGACGGGAAAGGAGACAGCCGGACGCGGAGGGGACGCGGTGGGAGAACCCGATGTCCGAAGACTCACCTATGTACTCTTCCAGGTCAATGAAACCATCTCCGTTCTTGTCGATGTCCTCCATGGTTTCCTGCGAGGAGAAGGCGGTTAGTCGGGATGGGAGCGACATCTCCGGATGAGGACAACCCTTCCCGGCCCCGGCAGGACACGGATGTCACCTCCACGTTAAAAAATAAATAAAATCAAAGCAACCCAAAAAGCTCCATTTTGTGCTCCACGCTCCATCTCCTCCCCCCACAGCCGTCCCCTGATCCACCCCATCTCCTCCAGGTCATCCCACCACCGCGCCATTCCCGGTGCCGACGGCGGAGCGGTTCCGGAAGGTCTTCCCCCATCCAGTTGGATTTCCAACCTTCTCCACCCGTTTCTTTGCCACCGTGACCACGTTGGAAGCCCGGCCACCGGTGGCGGCAAACCCACCTGCACCACAATGTCCTTCATGTAATCGTACTCTTCGGGGTGCAGAAAGGCGGTGAACTCTTCCTTGGTGGCGGTCAAGTCTCCGTCTTTGTCAGCCATCTTGAAACGTCGTTCATCTCGCACCATCATTTGTTTGTAATTAAATCCATCATCGGGGTCGGGGTCATCTGGGCAGGAGAAGAGAAGAGGCAGCCACCGTGTCAGCTCGGGTAAGGGGGAGATAGCCCCCGGACATCACCAACCCAACGTCAACTTCAACCCAACGGCGACCTCAACAACCCGACGTCAACCTCATCAACTCCATGGCAACTCAACCCCACCTCAACCTCCTCAACCCAACATCAACGTCAACCCAACCTCAACACAACCTCAACCTCAACCGAACATCAACCTCCTCAACCCAACCTCGATCTCAACCCAACATCAACCCAACCTCAATCTCAACCCAACCTCAACCTCCTCGACCAAACCTCAATCTCAACCCAACATCAACTTCAACCCAACATCAACCTCCTCAACCCAACCTCAATCTCCTCAACCCAACCTCAATCTCAACCCAACAACCTCCTCAACGCAACCTCAATCCCAACCCCAACCCCAACGCACCCTCAATCTCACCCCAACCTCAGCCTCCTCAACCCAACCTCAGCCTCCTCAACCCAACCTCAACTTCCTCAACCTCCTCAACCCAACCTCAACCTACTCAACCCAACCTCAGCTTCCTCAACCCAACCTCAATCTCAAACCAACCTCGATCTTAACCCAACCTCAGCCTCCTCAACCCAACC